AGACGGTCTGTCCCAGGGTCATATGTATTTGTGCCACTTTCATACAGCGAACCCGTGACCCTATCTATGCTGATTTTGATTTTGCATACATTTTCCAAAAGAGCGCGCATCATCTAGCGCAGTGGTTCGCAAACTGTACGCCTGGCTGCACTGGTGCACCCTGGAAGATGTTTAGGGGCACCCTGGAGGATATTTAGGTGCACCCTGGCATTCCAGAGAAATATGCATCCAGATATAAGAAATAAATATATTTACTTTATTACATTGCAGTGCTTGTCTCGTTCATACTTATGGGAATTAGGCTTTTCTGCTCTCACCATAATTAAATGCAAAAAAAGAGGAACTCTTCAATGTATTGAGGAGGAAATGAGAGTTTGCCTATCAAATATATGCTCAAACATTGAAGAAATCGCTAAAACTCATCACACTCTTCTTTCTCAGAAACATAAAAATGTATAAACTTAAGGAATGTTTCATTTTATATTTTTTTTATTGCATTATTTCTTTTCTGCAATATTTAATTTCATTGTAACATATTTTTCTGAAATTTGTATATAATGCGCCTAGAGTTATTGGTAGGATTTTAAATGCGCTTCGACTTCAAAAAGACTGAGAGCCTCTGGGCTAGATAGTCTGAAGAACACCACCCCTCTTGAGGCTCTTTTTGGATCCAGTTTTACCCCTCTTAGACTGTTTACCACCGAAAGTCAAAAGAACTCAGTCGACCCTGTTATTTTAACCCAAATAGCTTACTTAATAAACTTAATTCATTACAGAAAGAACTATTGTTAAAATAATTTGCAATGGATTTCTCTGTGATTTTAGTATTTTCATGTTTCTATAAATTTAAGGTAATTATTAGTTAATAGCATTTTTATGCATTTAATAAATTTCAGTCACACCTTCCATAATATATATATATATATATATATATATATATATATATATATATATATATATATACTCGTCAGGCTCATGTTTCTCATAAACATAAGAATGAATAAAATTAAGCTATGTTTTATTTTATATTTGTTTTGCATTATTTCTTTTCTGCAATATTTGACTTCACTATAACATATTTTCCAGATATATGTATATAGTTCGCTTACAATTATTGGTAGGATTTCAAGTGCGTTCCGACTTCAAAGAGTTTGAGAACCACTGGTCTAGCGTGATCACCTGTTAAACAAAACAAGAACGTTCCGGCCATCTGTCACGCTGACTTATAACTTCATGCTATCACGGCATTCAACAGTTTCTGCCAAATTTCTCACGGTGTTTTGAATGTTGATGTTCTAAACGTAGCTTAGACATGGCAAAAGGCCGAAAGCAGGATGTCATTGGGTGACACTGTGTTTGGTATGACTTATAGATACTTTTCGAGATTGCTGCACAGTGGATAATCACTGACTAATTGTTTATCATATGAGTGGTACCTCTGTCATAAACAGGACACTAACGTGCTACCCACTCCGTTACGCGCCTATCCTGCCGTAGATAAAAACAGAAGAGAACTGAGATAAGTGAACTGACATTATTGCTTCTCCAAGCAGCGAATTAATGCAAACAAATCAGTCTATATGTATGAGATGGGAATATACGACGAGAAGAGGATGAATGAATCCTGTTAGACTTTCACTCGCGCTAAAAACTGTTGTTATTTCTTTCGTAACTTTTTTTTATATAACTCCACCAATATAACCTCTTTCTATAGTTCCATTATATATATATATATATATATATATATATATATATATATATATATATATACACACATACACACATATATATATATATGAAGAAATATAGTTGTAAGGTGTGCTATATTCATGGGATAAAGTGCTCAATATCAGAGATAGAGCGTATGCAAATATAAGAGTGAACATTGAAGTCAACACTCAGAGGGGACAGGTTGTTTCATGCTAGACGCAATCGATGATGACGGCTCATGTAAGCCGAAAGTATATTCTCGAAAAATTGCCTAAAATTAAAGGTTGTATGATTTCTAATGTTGATTTATTTGTTTACTTCGGTCGAGAAGAACCCACCAGCTGTTTATACTGCAACAATACAGTTACTGTGAGAGAGCGTGTTATCTAGCGTGGTCAAAACTTAGAACAAGGCCAGCACGCTCAAGCCCTCGGCCACGACGAATTGTGGCTTTGTGCTTGCACAGCTCTCGAAGCCCTTCAAAAGTACCGTCTACCCAATTTCAATCAAAAGGCTTGGTATGGTTTTCAAGCAAAGGTGTTGCACGATGGCATCGACATCGACCCATTCCGATAACATCAAGAAGTCTCCTCCTGATAAATCGACCATGACGAGATCCGAACCTGGGTCTTATGGTCAGAAAGTGAACGTTATAACCACTTATATATATATATATATATATATATATATATATATATATATATATATATATATATATATATATATATATATATATATATATATATATATATATATATATATATATATATATATATATATATATATATATATATATATTGCGTTCTAATACTATATTACTGTCAAAATTTTTGAAAAATCTTTCGGTCGACAAGAAATTCATTTCGTCTTGGAGTTTTATTTTAATGAGAAAATTACAGCCTGACGATGAAAACATGTAGTTTTCGAAAGTACCTGCTGCTCTAAAATAAACCAGATCCATCTGACAACAATTTTATATTTAAGAATCTCGTAATTCAATGGATTGTTAGTAAGTTAAAGCTTATATTAAGTCTGTCAATAGTGCTAACTGATTCATTTTATGATTACCTCTTTAAAATATAAAATAATACGTTTTTGTAAAATAATTGATCTGGAATAGGAAATTCCGGAAAAAAACTACTAAGACACATTATTATATATATATATATATATATATATATATATATATATATATATATATATATATATATATCGTCTTTCTTTTCTTAAAACACCCACCCTGTTTTTGTATCTGTTGCTTTTTTACAAGTTTGTCTTCGGTATTTAACAGACCCCCCCGGCCAAAAATATACCTTTGAACCCGCCTAGATGGGTTCAGGGCCTGTCTACCTCCTCGGACGAAACTTTGCCATTTGGCAAAGCTTAGTCCGGTTTCCTCTGTGCCAAAGTAGACAGTTCAACAGAAGTCAGACACAGAAGACGCTAAGCTTGTCTTCGTAATCTAGCCACTCCCCCACGAGGGTTGCATGTGGCACAAGGCCAAGTTTAACGTGGGTTTTTCCGAGCCCGTAAGCTCGGCCAAAAATTTTCGCTTTGAACCCACCTAGACGGGTTCAGGGCCTGTCTACCTCCCCGGACGAAACTTTGCCCTTCGGCAAAGCTTCGTCCGGGTTCCTCTCTGCCAAAGACAGTTCAACAGAAGTCAGACACAGAAGACGCTAAGCTTGTCTTCATCCCACTTTATTCTTAGTGACGAGTTATATAGGCTTTCTCTTGCACTTATGAAAATTAGGCATATTAATTTGCCAGTGTCACTATACAAAAAATAAAATAAGAGAAACAAATTGTAAATAAAGTGTACTAAACTATAAAGTTCAGGCGAGTCATAGAACAACTGGCAGAGGTGTATGGGAGGGGGGACCTCTAGCTTAGCAACCGTTAACTTTACCTAGCAACCGCTAGCCTAGTCTATGATGTCGATTAATTTTATCAATTTTTAAAACATTTATATTTTATTCATTACTATAAGCATTTTAAAAAAAAATTCTATACGTTTTTATTTGTCGTCAATGTAGAATGTTCATACTGACTCGCCACATCCGTTACGTCCACCATGTTGTTGTTTTTTCTTCTTTTCTTTTCTTATTAATTTCCCGCTTTACGTCGAACAAAATCATAACTTTCGGCTTTTCAGCACTACTCTTCACACATACTTTCTTCGGATCCATGATGTCGCCAAAGAAATTTCGAAAAATAACGACAAAAAAGACCCAACACAACACAACAGATCCTTCCAGAACGAGGTAAACACGTGTCCGGCGAGTGGAAATACTCGCGAAGCCTGGCTCTCACTGCGCCATCTAGCGTATTCTTAACTGGAATTCGCCCGAATCTTAAAATTCAGCTCCATCGACCGAACTCCGGCTTGTATCTATAGAAAAAATGTATGTCGGTATGCTCGTATCTTAAGGCATTATTGTACTTAAGTTGTGATACGTGTTTGGGGACAATGTTAGCATAACATAAAAGTGTTTGCTTCAAACATCTCTAATTCGTAACTCGAATCTTGGAATTTTCCTCTTGCCAACGGCCATCCATTTTTCTCTTATTACATTTTAAGTTTAGCCCTTTTTGCCGTCTTCCTTTACTACTTTTTCTAAGAGTCTGCATTTTTTTTCTTATGACTTTCTTGTTAGACATTTTCATGACGGTCGTCTTCGAGTATAGAATCCAGAGGTTGGCAGTGAATATTTCGGAGACAGTAGGAAAGCGTAGTGCAGGTTCGCAGTGGATATCGCAGCAAAGTAGCAGAGCGTAGTTCTTCCGTCTGTCATGTTCGCCGGACAAGTTGCCTCTGGTCCTTCCGGGTAGGAAAACAAAGATGGCCGCCTTTATACACGACGGATACGGTGTTGTTCGGCTTCTGATTGGTCAACCTTCTACTGGTAGACTATAAAGGGAAATAAGTCATTTTGACTCGCTCACTAGTTACATATATAATATACACAAAAAAACGTAACATTTCTACGCTTACTTTAGATGTAGCACAAAGCTGAACGTATGACGCAACCAGCGAGAATCGATCTCACTAACTCATTCGTAATTGTTCAAGCAAGACAAACTTGCTAACCAATACACCACGCTGAGATGCCTTTTCTGTTATGTTGTCTTAACATTTTGCCTAATAATAATAAATTGAAACGTTTATTTAGATGTCTTTAGTCCAGTAGAGTAGATACTGTGGTCATTAATAAGTTAAAAATAATTGCCAATCGATTTTTATCATCTAGCGTAACTTTATGTTGCAGGGTCATTAAGGATATTTCCAGATGCCGATCTCGTAAGATATACTTAGAGCGAAAACTTTGAATAAACTTGTCTAGTGATTAAACGCTGTCCATCAAAATAATGAATGAGTTTGCTTGAAGCTGAATGTTGCGCAGCTGTGAAATTAAGACAACAGTTTCACGTTCAAGTGATAAGTGTGTTTAAGAATTGATTGATTGGAACCTGCTTCGTTTTCGTACTAAACACGTGTTGTCCAATAAAGGTGTGGGTGCTAACGTGGCAGATTTGTAAGGGGGGAGTATTTCGTGAATGATAAGCGGTGTGTATTGTCTTCGCTATAGCGTGCTAGGAGTTTCAACGAAAGCAGCTTGCGAGGAGATCAATTTAAATATTAAGAATGGAAAGAGAGAATACATGGAGAAATTTACGAAAATATGCATTGTGGTAGGATCGCTTTATTGTGGGGTGCCGTACATAGAGGCCCACGACAAAGAAAATATACTGTGTCACCGCGACCAGTCTCACACTGGCGCCGGTATCCATCAAACCCTCACCACTTTTTACTGTGAGGCGGGTGTTGCTACAGGTTTGGAATCTCCAGGTCAAGCCTCCTCTCATAGTTAATGTAACAGAAACTACACTTTGATCCCAACACAAAAGTCGTGCACGAAAACAAGAAAATGGAGAAGTGGGTCGAAGTGACGACGATAAAAAAACAGGTTTTCTAAAGTTTCCAAAGCGGAAAAGAATATAAGTTATTGGCGATAGATATCAACACTGCAATGTAACTGTCAGTTTCACGCTTCAAACGAGCTTCAGATCATGTTCATATCTATTTTTCTGTATATCATACACTGCGTTTTATACAGGTGCATTTTTATATGATTTGCAGATATATAGTGTAATACTTAACGAGATAGTTTGGTTTTGTGTTATTACTGAGTAGGGATTTCGATCATCGTCAGAACTCTAGCGAGGACTGAAAAAATCTGCACAGCGAAGAAAATAGAAAAAAATATGTGTGTTGTGGCGGGGGGTGGGGTGGAGGAATTTCCCTGACCTTGCGACCGCTTATAAAACACAATTAATGCATTATTTGCTCACTGTAATGAATCGATGGTAAAAAAAAAAAATAATAGAAAACATCTAAAAGACAATACAATTTACTAAGATGAAAATGTATAGAAAGTGCTTAAATTGCGAGATCGATGGTAAATTTTTTTTATTAAAAATGATACAATCATAAGCCCCCCCACTAAAACAATAAGTAAATGAAGTCGTCTAAATTATATATTCAAAGCATATATTAATAAAAAAAATAATCTAAATTTAAAATTCCCAGCGTCTCCTCTCCTTCATTCGCGTGTGTAGTCACAACAGCGTAAACATCACTTCAGTCCGATGAAGTCTTAAAAGACGAAAAGCTTCACACTGAGACTTTTCCACTTTCATGGATTTTTTCCCCTTTTACATGCAACTCAAAATATACCGAGAATGTCTTTGTGATAGGTTGGTTTATAGATTTTATTTTTGTACATACCATCGAAGAATGGACATAATATCTCACGATCACAAGGCCTGTAACTTATTCCGGTCGTGGGGACACCACATGTACGGCTGCCATAGAGTAGTGCTGGGTTTTGTGTAAGATGACCTGACGGTGCCCAACTTTTTGCAGACGTATTTGAATTCAGTTTTCCTTCTCCTAGTTTGGTTGCTACGCAAGGCGATTTGCCCATAACTGGAAGAGAAGAGATTTCCAAGGGGGATTTGCCCATAAGAGGAATGTAATGAACTCGACGGGAATTCGAACTGCTCTCCTATTTCTCCCGAGTCGTTATCCATTACGTCACTGTGATTACAATATTGCTTTTGAAATCATTCAAATTCAAACTAAGTTAACATCACCCGTTTTCAAATTTAGAGTTGAATTGTTTATTTTCTACGATAGTATATATATTCGCTTGAAGATGAAATAGAACTAATGCTTTTAATTTATTTGCAAAAATAAAATTAGGGGTTTTTAGCTTCTATTTTTGAAACATGGTTGGAACTGTGTAGCGAAAATAACCATATTTTAAATCAATTAATTTATAATATATATATATATATATATATATGTATAATTATTTATTCGAAAATTATAAGAAAAATATTATCAAATCACTACAAAAATAGCCATTTTGTTTCAACATTTCTGGTGTCTTATCAAGTGATGGTGTTGAATATAGAATAAAAGGTTTTAAAAAGTTCAAATCAATCAAACATCCCTCCTTGGAGGAAATGCTGTTACATAAGTTGGAATGACCAATCAAAATACAAGTATATGGGAATTCAAAAAACAATAGACTTAGGTTATAATAATTATTTAATGCTTTAATGTTAGGGTTAGACTAAAATAGAATTTATTCTAATAAATATTAAATGATACGATAAAATTTGAAATTAAAAATTACCCATTTTAAAATTTAAATTTAATCTACATTAAGTTTAAAATTATAAAATTACTGAGGAAAAAAGGGAAAGATATATAAGTTATTCTATGTATTTTGCTTTTATTGAAATTAAGTTGGAATAAACGTTAAGATCAAATGTTGCTCTGAACTTCATGACAACATGAATACATTTGAATCATAAACAGAGGCAGGGGCGGATGACATCATGTAAAAGACAATACATACACAATCAGATTATAATACATAAACACACAGACATATTTAGATATATAAACACAAAAATAGCGACGAGACAGGAAGTATCTCCACGACTTAAAAAAAACAAACAAAAAAAAAAACAAATACACAACATGCATACACAATGAAAGGTACACACAAATGACTATACACACAGACACCGATAAAGACACGTACATACACACACATACATTGAAAAAGACACGTCGATACACCTACCAAGAAATATTCCAGTTTGAAAGTGTTATTAAACGACTTCTAACCACTTATTAAAATATAACTTATACGGGCAAATATACATAGAAAAAATGGTAGAATATATAAAATTCAACATGGACAGAACAGAAAAACAAGGATTAGGGAAGAAGGTGCATTAAAGCAGATAGACATAGACAGAAAAATAGATATATACGCATAAAAATAACACCGTCTAATATATAAAAACGAAAACTTCAAACACACACATATATATAAAAAATATATTTCATATATACCTATATACGCACTAGTGCACACACACGAGTATAAAAATATAACAGTAGGTGAAAGAAAATAAAAACTACAGACATATGTGTACACACATTTTTCACTACAGACAGAAACTTGAATGTATATATATACATATATATATATATATATATATATATATATGGTTTATGAAAAACTAGGTAATCCGTATGGGTAAACCTAAGGAGGATAAAATCCAGAGAGCTCAATCTAAATACAGAGCAAATAATTTAAATAAAATAATCTTTATGAACCCCCAAAATAACACTTTCAAAGTAAAACAAAATAACAGCGCCTGTTTCTAGCCTTTTTAAAAAAAAAAAAAATTAGTGACACTTTCTCTCATAACTTCCTTCTCTCTTTTTCTCTCTATGGGGTTTTTCTTCTCTACCCCCACGATTTCAATAAGTAACTTCCGTTAAGTTAACTGGTTAAATGAGTCAATATCTGCTAACTCACTCATGTCTTCTCTCTCCCCTCTCACTTCCTCACTTCGTTAATTTTCATATGTTTAATACGGCCCGTCAAAAACGTGTAAATTTTCTTTTCATTTTTTGTTTGGAAGTAAAGTCTGATGATCTGCAGTCCTTTTAAAAGGGCTGTGGTGAAATAATTTATTACATGGAATCTTAAAGTGGTCTGTTTTTTTTTATATATATATATATATATATATATATATATATATATATATATATATATATATATATATATATATATATATATATATATATATATATATATATATATATATATATATATATATATATATATATTTATATATATATATATATATATATATATATATATATATATATATATATATATATATTTACATATATATATATATATATATATATATATATATATATATATATATATATATATATATATTACAAGTTAAAACTCAGAAATAAGCTTCCACTTCTACTTATCACCGCCTTGTAATGATAGTATATGACATCTGAATAAATATTAGCCTAGCAGATAACTCGACTTTGCATATTAGACTTGGAGGGGGGTATCTTTAAATCATTATCCATGGAAATCAGGTTGGGGTGCATCAATAGTCATTCATTATTTTTTTGTTGTTAAGTATTTGAAAATTGTGAATAGAAAAAAAATGATATTGCTGAATTGACCTCTTCCCAACATAGAAATATTTTGCTAGTAGTCAACATAGGTTCCCAAAGGATGAGGCGTGCCTCATCGGTACTACGGAAGAGGATAGCAGGTAAGGCAGAATGACTGAAAGATAAAGATTTAGAAACAGTTTTTGAAAATTCATATGACAAAAATAAATTATTTCAAAATTTAGAATGTTATTAGGGATTACTTGTAACTGCATGTATGAGTCCCAGTATAAATAGATATTGACCGATTTTATCATCGTGTTATTTTAGTATTCTATTAAGAATATATTAACTATGGTCCGCAAATTTGTGAAGAGAGTTATCAATTATAATGTTTTCACTTCGAATCCGTGGTTATCTCCCTTTGGGCCGCAAAAAAAAAAAAAAAAACAGACAGCGGGTTACGCTGTCTGTTTTTTTTTTTGCGGCCCAGAGAAAAATAGTTTGTGAACCTAGTGGATTAAAGAGTTGATTCGTGACCTTGGTGACATAGTAATTATGAGTTCGATCCCTGGGCTGGGCAGTGTGTACTTGAACTCAGTGGAAACGGTCAAGCAATAAGTGAGCAGCATTAACTTTAAGAACGCGTTATTTCCCTATATTTCCAGGTTACACACAAAGATTAAAGAATTTACTCTTTTGTCTTTGAAAGATTTTCTGTTTTTTTCCATCAGATTCTATTCGCAAAGAAGGAAGAGGATAGAGAAAGAAGTAATTTATTTTTATTTTTATTTTTATTTATTTATTTAATTAATTTATTTTTAATAACTTATCAAGACATTTAAGCTAAAACCTATTTCGGACTGTATGGGGTTATTTTGTTCAGTAGCCATCCCTCATCTAAATTCTCGTCGGGCTCGACACTGCTTAACTTCGGTGCGAACTGCTGTTTTGAACGTGATTTGGCTGTTGGCGAGGAAAGACGAAAGCAAACAGGAAGGAAGGTAAGAAAACAAAAACGAATTTTATCTCCTAGATAAAAGACAACAAAATTGAAATTGCGATGGCGATAAAAGACTGTTGGGGTGGTGAACAAGTGGGAAATGGCATAAATAAAGAGACGATTATTTAAATACGTAAACTCAAGTGTAATTACATGGGTACATTTAAATGGGGGGTGCACATAGAACGAGGATTCATTTATAAGTTTTAAGAATGTTAAGTGCCCTGATACTGATCGATAGATCGATGAATGGTGGAAAACAGAAATAGATAAAAATATCAAGAAAAATTTTAATTGAAATTTAAATTATATGTATTGAGTGGTGCGGAGTTGTTGTCGACCACAACGAGAGTAAATTAAAAAAAAAAAAAAATTGGTCAGACGTTGGTTAATGGGTTGAGCCAAAATTTTATCAGTCTTTCTCTGTTTTTTTCTCTCTTTCTCTGTCTTTTTCTCTCTTTCTGTCTTTCTCCCTCTTTCTTTTCCTCTCTTTCTGTCTTTTCTCTCCTTCTATCTTATCTCTCTCTTTTATTCTGTCTTTTTCTTTCTCTCTTTTTCTCTTTCTTTTTTTTCTCCTTCTTTCTCTCTTTTCTCTCTCTCTTTCCTTCTATCTTTTCTCTCTCTGTCTTTTTTGTTTCTCTTTCTTTCTGTCTTTTTTTGTTTCTTTTTCTGTCTTTTTGGCCTCTCATTCTTTCTGTCTTTTTTGTCTCTCTCTCTCTCTCTTTGTCTTTTTTGTCTTTCTCTTTCACTCTCTTTGTTTTTTTTGTTTTTCTCTCCCTCATTTTCTTTTTGTCTTTCTCTCTCTCTCTCTCTTTGTCTTTTTTGTCTTATTCTCTCTCTCTCTCTTTGTCTTTTTGTCTCTCTGTCTTTTTGGCCTCTCATTCTTTCTGTCTTTTTTGTCTTTCTCTCTCTCTCTCTTTGTCTTTTTTGTCTTTCTCTCTCTCTCTCTCTTTGTCTTTTTGTCTTTCTCTCTCTCTCTTTGTCTTTTTTGTCTTTCTCTTTCACTCTCGTTGTCTTTTTTGTCTTTCTCTCTCTCTCTTTGTCTTTTTTTGTCTTATTCTCTCTCTCTGTCTTTTTGTCTCTCTGTCTTTTTTGTCTCTCTCTTTTTGTCTTTTTTGTCTTTCTCTCTTTATATATATATATATATATATATAAACACTACACACAAAGACGACGTCTGATAAAGAATAGGAACTGTTGCTGTGTTAACGAACCTAAAGTACGCAGTAAAAAAGCTTGTCACAGACTGACATAGAATTCTGTTGCGCATGCTCACTAAGTTACGTTCGCGCTCATTTGCTTATAGCAGTGCTTGGAAGGAAAGTATCTATAGCAACGTTTCCCATCCAATGCGCCTTGGCACACTAATGTGCCATGAATGGTATGAGGTATGCCCCAAGTTAAAGGAAGTGTAATTTATGAATTATTTTTATATGTAAAAAAGAGTCTTTATTTTTAAAAATCTGATAACATCGAGCACATTGCTTCCATGTTTAAGTCAATTGACGTTTCAACTACTGACGTTGGCTTATCGTTAAAAGAAGAGCGACTAGTCACTATATATGTTGATCCTGGTTTACAAATCAAACATAAAGAGATGTCCGTTGACCAATTCTGAATTACCATTCTAGAAGAATTTGCTTCAAGAGCTGCTAAAGCAATGAATATTCTATTGTTATTTTCGATATCATACCTGTGAATTAAGTTTTTCTGCACCTACCAACAATAAATGTAAAAATAGATCAAATATTAAATGAATTGATAAGAAAATAAATGTGTTTATCACATAAGATCTAGCATTCAAACAATTGCCAAAGCACATCAAACACAGTATTTACATTATTCGGACTATTGTCCTCATCTTTGTCGCCATATTTATTACAACGTTTCGGCCGTTGTACGCTCCGGCCTTCAACCGTTCATTTCGCTTACTGGGGTATACTGTTCTAGTTCCACGTGCCATGTTTAATGGATGTCAGTTATCAGTTATCTCTTGTTAATTCCCCTCTCCAAGTTCTCCATCGCCTTAACCAGGTATTGAACTCACACTCTTTATCCACTGTGCCATGTGTCCTCAAGGATAAAGGGGTTAGTTAGATCCAGTGACAGGACCCTAGGAGTTCAGTTCGACGTTCCAACCACCTGAAGAAGGCCGGGGTATACAACGACCGAAACGTTGTAATAAATATGGTGACAAAATTAGGTCAATAGTCCGAATAATGAAAATAGTGTACATAATACCTCATCTCAGAAATATAGACAGATACATCAAACACAGGTTCCATACAAGTATACTTAAATATAAAATGAAATGTCTTGAAAATAAATGGTTATATCAGGAAACTTCTTTTATTATTTTCGAATTTCATGACTGATTTTTGGTTATTAAAGTTTAAAGTGAAACACAGAGTTTTATTATACAAGTGAGCCATGAAGTAAAAAAAGAAAAAGGTCGAGAAAAACTGCTCCGTAGTGGGATCGCGTTACAGAAAACATTTCAATATTGTCTTAACGGGTGACGAATTCTGTGTTTTTCAACCCAACCTCTACGATACCGAATACAATATGAATGATTCGAAGCATTATGAAGACACTGTTGATAGTTTTCTTTGAATACGGGGGAATTATTCATAATGAGTCTGGTCCACATTGTTAGATAGTAAACACGGAGTACTAGCGTGACGTGTTGCGTTGTTTGCGGGATGCTGTTCTCAATAGCAATTTAACATTAAATTATATAGTTTTCAATGACAAAGTTTGCTTGAGTTTGTCATTTCATACGGTAACTGCAGCCACATAAGCCAGCGTTATTTGGTATGAAATGATTTTCATGTAAAAACGGGTGATCACGCAAAAAATCTATGAAAACTTGGTTTAGAATGTCATGTCATTCAATCGACATTGGCAATGGCATATTTCAACTTATTCAGTATTTAATACATTTTCTTTCTCCATTGGGACACTGTTTCGATGATATCAGTTTTGATTTAGCAATGCAGCGACTTTTTTTCTTATCCATGCACCTGACTGCTATTTTCCTCCATTTTGCCTCATTTGCTATTTTCCTCTATGCTTCGAATTTGAACTCTGCTCCACATTTTCCGCGTAACTTTGAACTCTGCTCCACATTTTCCGCTTAACTTTGAACTCTGCTCCACATTTTCCGCTTAACTTTGAACTCTGCTCCACATTTTCCGCGTAGCTTTGAACTCTGCTCCACATTTTCCGCTTAACTTTGAACTCTGCTCCACATTTTCCGCGTAACTTTGAACTCTGCTCCACATTTTTCCGCTTAATAACCACATTTGAACTCTGCTCCACATTTTCCAGTGTAGCTTTGAACTCTGCTCCACATTTTCCGCTTAACTTTGAACTTGAACTTTGAACTCTCCACATTTTCCGCTTAACTTTTGAACTCTGCTCCACATTTTCCGCTTTTTAACTCTGCTCCACATTTTGAACTTTGAACTGCTCCACATTTTCCGCTTAACTTTGAACTTTGAACTTTGAACTCTCCACATTTTCTGCTTAACTTTTTGAACTCTGCTCCACATTTTCCGCTTAACTTTGAACTTGCCCACATTTCCGCTTAACTTTGAACTCTGCTCCACATTTTCCGCTTAACTTTGAACTCTGCTCCACATTTTCCTTGCTTAACTTTGAACTCTGCTCCACATTTTCCGCTTAACTTTGAACTCTGCTCCACATTTTCCGCTTAACTTTGAACTCTGCTCCACATTTTCCGCTTAACATTTTGAACTCTGCTCCACATTTTCTGCTTAACTTTGAACTCTGCTCCACATTTTGCTTTGAACTCTGCTCCACATTTTCCGCTTAACTTTGAACTCTGCTCCACATTTTCCGCTTAACTTTTGAACTCTGCTCCCACATTTTGAACTCTGCATTTTTAACTTTGAACTCTGCTCCACATTTTCCGCTTTGAACTCTGCTCCACATTTTTAACTTTGAACTCTGCTCCACATTTTCCTGAACTCTTAACTTTTGAACTCTGCTCCACATTTTCCGCTTAACTTTGAACTCTGCTCCACATTTTTTCTTTTGCTTATTTTCCGCTTTTGAACTCTGCATTTTCCACATTTTCTGCTTAACTTTTGAACCTGAACTCTGCTCCACATTTTCCGCTTAACTTTGAACTCTGCTCCACATTTTCCGCTTAACTTTGAACTCTGCTCCACATTTTCCGCTTAACTTTGAACTCTGCTCCACTTAACTTTGAACTTGCTCCACATTTCCTCTTTGAACTCTGCTCCACATTTTCCGCTTTTAACATTTTTGAACTCTGCTCCACATTTTCCGCTTAACTTTGAACTCTGCTCCACATTTTAACTTTGAACTCCGCATTTTTAGCTTTGAACTCTGCTCCACATTTTCCGCTTAACTTTGAACTCTGCTCCATTTTCCACATGACTCTCTCCATTTTCCGCTTAACTTTGAACTCTGCCCACATTTTCCGCTTAACTTTGAACTCTGCTCCACATTTTCCGCTTAATTTTGAACTCTGCTCCACATTTTCCGCTTAACTTTTGAACTCTGCTCCACATTTTCCGCTTAACTTTGAACTCTGCTCCACATTTTCCGCTTAACTTTGAACTCTGCTCCACATTTTCCGCTTAACTTTTGAACTCTGCTCCATTTTCCATTTTGAACTCTGCTCCATTTTCCGCGTAGCTTTGAACTAACTTTGCTCCACATTTTCCGCTTAACTTTGAACTCTGCTCCACATTTTCCGCTTAACTTTGAACTCTGCTCCACATTTTCCGCTTAACTTTGAACTCTGCTCCACATTTTCCGCTTAACTTTGAACTCTGCTCCACATTTTCCGCTGTAGCTTTGAACTCTGCTCCACATTTTTTCCGCCACTTAACTTGAACTCTGCCCACATTTCCGCTTAACTTTGAACTCTGCTCCACATTTTCCGCTTAACTTTGAACTCTGCTCCACATTTTCGCGTAGCTTTGAACTCTGCTCCACATTTTCCGCGAACTCTGCTCCACATTTTCGCTTAACTTTGAACTCTGCTCATTTTCGCTTAACTTTGAACTCTGCTCCACATTTTCCGCGCTTTAATTTTCGCTTAACTTTGAACTCTGCTTTGAACCACATTTTCCGCTTAACTTTGAACTCTGCTCCACATTTTCCGCTTAACATTTTGAACTCTGCTCCACATTTTCCGCTTAACTTTGAACTCTGCTCCACATTTTCCGCGTAACTTTGAACTCTGCTCCACATTTTCCGCTTTAGCATTTTTGAACTCTGCTCCACATTTTCCTTTGCATTTTTGCTTAACTTTGAACTCTGCTCCACATTTTCCGCTTAACTTTGAACTTGATTTTCGCGTAGCTTTGAACTCTGCTCCACATTTTTCCGCTTAACTTTGAACTCTGCTCCACATTTTCCCTTTGAACCTTTTTTTTGTACATTTTGAACTCTGCTCCACATTTTTTTCTTTGAACTCTGCTCCACATTTTCCGCTTAACTTTGAACTCTGCTCCACATTTTCCGCTTAACTTTGAACTCTGCTCCACATTTTCCTTGCTTAACATTTTGAACTCTGCTCCACATTTTCCGCTTAACTTTGAACTCTGCTCCACATTTTCCGCTTAACTTTGAACTCTGCTCCACATTTTCCGCTTAACTTTGAACTCTGCTCCACATTTTCCGCTTAACTTTGAACTCTGCTCCACATTTTCCGCTTAACTTTGAACTCTGCTCCACATTTTCCGCGTAACTTTGAACTCTGCTCCACATTTTCCGCTTAACTTTGAACTCTGCTCCACATTTTCCGCTTAACTTTGAACTCTGCATTTTCCACATTTTGAACTCTGCTCCACATTTTCCGCTAACTTTGAACTCTGCTCCACATTTTTCCGCTTTTTGAACTTCCGCATTTTTAACTTTGAACTCTGCTCCACATTTTCCGCTTAACTTTGAACTCTGCTCCACATTTTCCGCTTAACTTTGAACTCTGCCCACATTTTCCGCTTAACTTTGAACTCTGCTCCACATTTTCCGCTTAACTT